TTTTATTATTATTATTATTATTATTATTATTATTATTATTATCACCACCCATCAGACAATTTTATTCATATATGTGCTTCACAAATATTTTTGTTATTTAATGCTTCTATAAATTCTTTCATACAATGCAGTCGTGTAGAACATTTTCACTGAACAAATAAATGTTATTCATATTATGAGATGACTATATTACCATGGAGATAAAAGAGATCTTTTCTCATCTCCATGGTATTACTTAATCTAAGCATGGAAGTAAGTGCATGATCTAAGTGCCAGTATTAGGAATACAACTTGAGATGTCAAATACTTTAAAGGGCGGTGGTTATCATGTTTTTTTCCTTTTAGTTTCATCACAAAGTATCACATTTGTACTTAATTACTTTTGCCCAAACACTGTTATTCATACCATTTCACAAGATACAGACTGGTAGAAATTTCTAGAATAAACACACAAACAAACACACATATTCTCCTAAAATGAGCTCTATGCGCATTACTTAACGTAGTAGTCTATCAATAAAAATCACAAGAACTATAGAAAAGAAAAACAAATTAAAACTAGTTAAATTGACTACAGTGACATGTTTTAGTGCTTTCTTAAATAATGAATGAATGTGAGACTGAATGGCAGATTGAGAAGGGTATGCAATTCCAAATATTTGGATCTGAATATTGGAATGCACGTTCACAGTATGATTTAGTCTTGGTGCGTGGTTTCGTTAATATATCAGGGGGAAAATTCTTCTCCTCTGGGGTTCCGTATCAGGGGGAAATTCTTCTCCTCTGGGGTTCTCCACACGTGTCCGGGGGGAACCTCGTCTGGTCTCTCTATCGCGTCCCCTTGAGGTACGGGATCGGAAAGTCACTGACGCCTTACAGTCAAATAAGACACACACAACGAAATACGTTTCAACTCTCGTCTTAGTCGGTCATTCGAGCACTCTATAAGACACAGCGCCCTGGGGAAAAAATCCCCAAGACTATCGCAAAGCTGACCCAAGACTAGCCCAAGACTACGTCAAGAATCGTCCCAAGACTCTCCAGGACTGCACTGCGTCAAGGCTCTCTAGGACTGGACTCTCGACTGCGTCTCTCGTGGTGTACTCGTCAAGACCAACTCAAAACTCTCTTTATTCATTTTCAAAACTCTAACCAATTACAAAACAGTGAAAAGACTCTAGGGCGTAACCTTCAATCATAAAGCCAATCACACTAAGTACTGAATACGTCATATCTTTTGATTAATCGTTCACTACATTAATAACTACGGATACCAACTGTCAGAAATCGTAGTCAGAATAGCGACGGTTATCTCGTAATTAGTTCCAAATCACTGAGTCGAGTTCCGTCCAAAACTTCAAATAGGCCTAAACGATGACAGACATAACACAGCAATTCGCTAATAATCAGCTAATTAAGTCGGTCAACAGATACGCAAAAACAAATTCATGACAAATATACGATTGTCTGATGACGAGCGCAATTGTCCAGCGGGATGGTATATATGTAGAAGATCTGACAGGTATAGTGGTTCAGTGTTACTTATTGATAAGTAGCACAAACTTGAAATTTTATATTCAATACTTCTGTTAACTGCAACGGGATTTGTTTGAAAGTGAGCGTTTTGTTTTATTTTTGAAATGAAAGTGCGCATGTCCGAAGACAAGGTAGAAACACAATAATCTCGCATGCATGTATTACATACTTACGCGTGTACATAAAACTCCCAATATTTCTTCAAGATATCTACTACGCAGATTCGACTTTTAAATGCTTCTTAGTCGTTTTATCATTTTAAGGTTTAAAACATTTCCCCGTGTATAATAAAATGAATTGCTCTTTTGCTGAAAAACAACATTTAGGCTCAAAATCATACAGACAATTGTTCTCACATTTGGTATCAGCGCCACTTTAAAAGCCAAAATTGCTAATTGTGCTGTTACGTTCGTAGTTGTTTGTTTACTAGTCTTTCAGACAACAAAACACGTCAACGTCGCGCCGTGCCAAAAACACATACTACTACATCGGCCTTCACGCATTCAAATAAAGATCCATTGAAGCCTTAACATTTTTCAATATATTTATACTATAGTTCAGTGAGACGCTACGCGAAAGTTATACATAAGAAACTGTTTATCGGATATTCCTCATATTCTCAGGTCGGACATAAGGGCAACTTCACCGCCTGGCAACCTTCACGGTGAAAACAAAGTCCGAAAACCCCCAGAAAAATGTACTTTGGGAGCATCTCCTGAACAGTGTAACAAGATTACCTCTACACATATAAATTTAATGGTCAGGATTACTTCAAAGTTGATTTTGTGCTGTTTCCTCGACTTTAGCTGTACAGCGCTCCAAAGCAGCTAGCGCAGAGCCCATGGAATAGACTGCCCAGCCGTGGTAATTTTTATTTTCTTAAATCGTGGTCCGACGCGTAATTACCATGACTGGTCGATTCTACGTCAATGCGGGGGATTCTACAAACTCATTCTAAAGGAATTTTCATATAAAACAATAAAATTGCCACGACTGGGCCAGTCTATCCATGAAAACACTTAATACTGTAGTGCGCGTCTTAACAACGCCGAACTTTCTGTGACATAGCTCCGCCCTGAGAATTGATGAATTATTTTCAGTGTGTACTATTTTTACGCAAAACAAATATGAAAACAAGCCCCAAGATGGACCATTTGTGAGGTTCATTGTCATGTGATACTTTTTTGAGTACGTCATAAAATCTACAATTTTGTAGATAACATCACAGTCCCAACATATATACTAGTAACACACAAATAA